TTCCTAAAAGTGTATTAATGTCCCTACTCACAGATGGGCTACTGCCCCAGTCTCTGTCAGGACAGCTGTTCTGAAGCACAGACAGTGAAGGATTGACATAAATGATGGTGACAAAAAGGTTTATGATGGGGAAGGAAAAAAGGGAGAGGAGCAAAGAGCTTTGCTAAAACTAGTGTCTTCAGCAGCCTCTTTTCTGTCAGAATGGATGCTGGAAGCAGCTGTGCTCCTTTTCAAGTAAAGTAGCTGAAACAGCATCTGAGGCAAAGCAGGTCAGGCTTTGCAAAGCTTAGCAAAGAGACTAAGTGTGAAGGCAGAGACCGAGGCACTGCCAGGGGAGCTCTGTGCAGGAGGAAAAGTGCACACACACCATTCAGCAGAGAAGCCCAGATTTATCACAAGAGCTGACTGAGGGTTCAGTGGAAAGCTGAGAAGAGCCAGAGCTGTCACATCACTGTGACAAAAGCTAAGCAAGAACACTGTTGACTGAAGTGTTCCAGAAAGAACAGAAGTAAGAAAACTTGAAATATGGAGTGGTATTTTTCTTTGCTATATGATTGATGTTGCAGAACGGAAATGGCACTCTGTGTGCCTTCTTTGTAGGAATGCATCAAAGAAATATCTGACTCATTTACCAAGTTTCTTCTACCAGTGGAAATGTACTGCAGATCTGAAGTACTGCTGTAACCAGTCAGAAGTGGTGACACTGTAATTACCTTTCCTGATTGTGCCAACAGTGTTACAGTTCTTCCCAGCCAGTAATAGAGCCCCAGCCTTTGATATGGGGAGCAGACAGTCTTCAGCCAAAAGTTAAGGAAGGAAGAGGTATGACACCTATGTAGCTTGTTTGCAAAAGAAGAAAAGAAAGGATTCTAATTTTTCTGTTATTCCATCAGCCTGCCTTTTTGTCTGGTATAAAAGTGTCTTCAGATGCATTCTGTACACCAGAATGTTGTGATCTTGTTCTGGAAGGAGGTTTTCCTGAAAAACTAAGAATTGGGTGAGCCTGTAACAGTTATGTAGGACTGGGAAAATGGAGACAATCCATACAGTGAGGATCAGCTAGTACCATGGGTGGATCTCATTTTGATCTTTAATAGCCTTTCAGTTTCACTTGGCTGCATGTTTTTTAGTGACACAACAAAGAGATGTATAGCTATGCAAGACAAACAAGAAGGAAAGATTAGATTAATATATGTGTATTTTTTGCTGTGAGAGTTTTCCCTTCCATCTGGCCAGGCCACGGGATCTTCTAAACATTTTTGGTTTACAGTGTGGAATTTATTGTTTACTAAAATGCTTGAAATGCTTTGGCCTCCACTGTTTGATTTGGAATCTAATAAATGGCATGTGATTTGTCAGCCTGCCACTCTGTGGAGAAATAATATTATTTTGCCTGCTGGCCATCATTTTAATAGTGTTATCGTGGTGTTCATACAGTCTCTGGCCCTGCTTTCTGGTGAGACCCTGACTTGTGCCTGAAATGTAAATCATCGTCTTCTGTACCTCTAACACGTGTGTATCAACAAGGGCTTTTATCCTTCTGAGGGGAGGTCTGCATTTGTAGGAAAAGTGCTGGCTCAATTTCACAAATATTCACAGTACTGGAAATGGTTACTATCACTATGGACTAAGTTGCTTCATTATCTCTGAGCCACTCCTCAAGTGACAGCCGTGGGGCTTTAATTTCTCTCTGTCTCCAAGAGATCCCACAGTCCAGGCTCCTGCTTTTCCTCCTCTCAACTTAGGTCTCAAACTGTGGAGCACCAGTGCTTTTGAGGTATTTCTGTCTTGGTTGAGTCCCTGTGGTTCTTCCATTTGGGAATTTCTAGTAGCAATACACACTATGAACAGCAGCCTTTTTTTAATACAGGCAACACTGAATCTTGGCAAAATAAAGAAATAATCCTGTGACTGGAAAAACTAGTAGAGTTTACTATCCCACGGCTGCATCCTTCAGTCTAAACTTTCCTACCAAAATAACCCAAATGTCCCCCTTTTGTTCATTAAAACTCACATCATAGGGTGGTGCCCTCAACTCTGACTGAATCCTGTGTAACCCACCCCACAGGTTACGTTGGGCAGGGAGCAGGCAC